GTAGCAGCTCCCCTCTACAGATTCCTCATATTCGAGGATAAAACAATAGAAAGATATTAAACAAGTTGCCTTTGAGCACATCCCCTTCTCATTAATGAAGTGTGCACTTGGACTGATCTGGAGCTCAACGACTAATCAAAGCCCATTCATGCGACTCTCCTCAGACACTTCTTTTTCGGGCCCCGTAACTTATCGCTCACATAACCATGTAAGGAAATGAGAATTTTCTGAGCTCTATAGAAGCCGGACATTCATGCAGTTGAGCGAAAGGCTTCAGGCTATTGAGACTTTGCCGAGTCAATACTCTCAATTCGAGTAGGCTGACAAAAGAATGGGTCCCTACACGAGTCTTTGAATTGCCTCATACTTCCAACAATGACAGAGCCTTTCTGTGTCATTTAACAGAGCCCTTGGGTCCGTTACGCTGAAGGGGATTCAGTTGCTTCAGTCCTGAACATAATTGACAATTGACAACTTATCATCTGATCTGAACATGATAACAAAACTATAAGGCGTTGCAAGAAGAAAAACTTTGGAAGAAATGATACTGCCACCTGTTAGACGGTTTTAAAGAACATGGCCCAGTGTTGTGAACGAACTGGTTGGGAGCCCCATTGCTAGAGGCATACGTTTTTGGAAATAGCTGGCAGTCGAGAGCACAGCAGGAAGCCCAAATATGTGGTCAGCAAAGTCTGACGATTGAGGCCGCAGTCGATGGCCGTTGGACAACTGCGCTAGCTTCTAGACCACTTTATGGGGGTAAAAAGAGGTTTAATGCCAAATTAAGGTGCTGAGAGCCTTTCTGATTACAGGCCCGAGAGCTGGCATGGAAATGAACATAACCAGTCCCTCGCTTGCATTCTGAAGAGAGATGATATTCGAACTCAAACCCTCCAGTGGTGTAGTGCAACCTCGATAGGGAATTAGGAAAGACAAAGGACAGAACATAGTGGAGCAGACACTCAGAGCAAAAAAGATATATCGATGTTAGCTGGAAATTAATCGGCTACCTTCGTCAAGGTGCGCACTGAGGGGAATGTATTTACGTCGGCTGGTGGTCATTCGACTGGGTCGAAGGCTCTCGACTTCCGGACTGCATCGAAGGACACGTAATTGCAGCCACCCGGCGTTTCAGAACAGGTCTCAGTTCGTCCATGTTAAATGCAGTTCGATATTCTGCTATGGGATATAAATGTGACAAGGTGATTGATGGATCGGACACGACTACTTCCTCGACTGACCCTTTCTAAAGCATTTATCTGAGTTGTTTCACAAAATGAATTACTTTGCCAGAGGTCAATCGATTTTCTGACTAATTTCTAGGTAATTTCTACACCTAATTATTCTCCCACTAGTATTCAACGATTGTAGTATGCTGTGAAAAAAAGCCGAGGTCGTTATGCCCGATTTGAGGATGAGAGAGGGGAGAGGGCTTTCAGTAAAACGGACTGAAATGGACCTCAAAGACTATGATTCGGACCAGATAGGAGATCGAAAGATTACCTAACATAGTCCCTTTTTGCTTCATCGCCCCTTGAATTGACCCTCAGTTTAGAGGCGCCACAAGAGGGGTCTCCTTAGTCCTGTTTGAAGGAACACCATGATAAACATGATCTTGCGGATTTATTGTTTATAGAACTAAGGCTCTTAACAAATTTAGTAGGTTGGCAAACGTTGTCTGTAAAAAAGGCTACCTATATGTATAGGAAGCTGCGTGAAAGGTATATAAACTCGTCCAGCCGTCCGTTACCTCTCAAAAGCTCCAGGAGGGACGTGTTCAACGGCATATGATTTCGAAATAGAGCACTTTGGCTGTATGTGCAATCAGCCGTTGCACGCTTGTAGCCGACACGCGCTGCAGCGACTAAAATCTTGTCAAAACATCTCGTCCAAATTCAGAGACCATTACCTTTGAAAAAGTTCATAACTCTGAATCTCTGTGGATTTTTTTTTTGATTTTCTTCGCCACCGTCGTACTATTCTACATCAACACTCTCGCCCTGTAACCCAATAAAGGTAGATGATATTATCGCGAGCTTTCACATAAGACGTCATATTTCAGCGCTTACCAAGAACTGGGTTGTAGACCTTACTCCATTGCAATGAATGAACATCCCTTCCTATCCCTCTTGACCATCCCCCGATGGCCCGTCAAAAAAGAAAATCGCCGTTCCATCCCGTTCCACAGTCAAGATTTGGCACCACGCCCTACACGTCACATGCAGTTGTTTTTTTTTCCATTTCAAGGCCTTTCGCTGACAGCATTTCGTCCTTCGACCTGAAGTTTTTTCTCGAGCTCGATTACAGGAATGCTATACCGAAGGACGACCACATGAAAATTACCCATGAAGTTCCATCTCTCAGGTCAGTGCGGGCGAAAATTAGCTGAAGTATGAATTGGCATAGTACCGTAAAGGTAGTCCAGGTTCTATTTAAAATCAATCCTTATTTTTGAGAAAATCGAAAAGAATAATAACAAGTGATTAACCATTATGGTGTCTTCAACCTATGCTTCATTGATTGATTGGTCGATTGGTTGATTGAGATGCTCCGGGCAGCATTTAGCTTTGAACGTAATTTATCGTCGAGCGAATATTTCCTATTTATTACTACAAAGTTACTTACTAATACAAATTTTATATTATACAGAGTGAATATTTTATCAAAATTTTTCACTAATTCGCTTAATTATTAAAATAGTTTCATCATCAATTGCTTTTATTATCAAAAGTTAATATGTCTAAACATAGTAAATTACTACTTTCAAATTATAGTGTCACCATAAACAATGAATAAAAAGTCATAAAGCCATTAGTCACAAAAGCGGAAAGACATTTCCGAGCAAATAAATACTATGATTAAATTACGGTAATTCATCATTTTGCAAAGGTTCTGCAGCTTGCGTCTCCCTGGAACTATTTCAGTAGCGACCCCTAAAATTCACATAGTGGGCCTTATCTCCCACCATGACGTGTCCCCAGCGAAGACCGTTTTTTTTGCGAAGCGAAGCAGTGCTGTCCTACTAATTCCAATGGACAATTCTACGGAGAAATCTGGTTTCAAGGAAAAGTTTGTAAAGGTAATCTATTTTGGACCATTCTTTTTTCGTCAATATTTCGACGTCACTTTCAGAAATTTCCTCCACATCGATGTAAGCGCCATGCTCATTACTATTTAGGGCTTACTTATAGTTTTTATCGCAAAAGCTCATATAAGTAATCGAAGGGCAAAGCACAAAATGAAAGTTTCAGGCGGAAATGTCAAGTAGTAAATTGACGCATAACCAGTTATATCCCTAAACTTCTATACTTAGTTTTTTGACGCATAACTTCTGAAAATACTGGTCCGGAAAAAAGACTGTAATCATCTATACTTTCCTAATAAACCATAAAAGGTATTTGGAAATCGAGCTTTTTGATAAAGGCGCGAATGGGTCGGTTCTGTGCCAGGGTCTCTCCCAGAGTCGACTTGCGACAACCCCGAAAGAAGGCGGCCAAGAGCCTCCCCTAAGTTGACACAGTAACCTAGCTAGGCATGGCGACCTCGAATGGAACTCCTGACCCATGCCCAGAAGTAGAGTAGCCTAATTGGAAGGGCTATCGCGCCAAGTACGAGGACTATCATCGGGCTCATACAATTTGGACTATGGTTGGAACTTGTGTGACAGAAAGAGTGAAAAACGGTATCTCTAAAGGTTCCATCTCGAACAAGGAATATAAATGCATCGTCCAAAAGGGTTTCTTCCGTTTTAGATAATATCGCATAGAAGCGGTCCTTCATATCACAGTGATATCAATATCAGGCAATATGAGCACTGGGGAAGCCTAAGCAACGACAAATCCGATTAGTTTGAGGGTGTCTACAGCAGAAAAAAAAGGAAAAAACGATGAGAATATTGCTGTATCCAATTTTTCAAGGTGCAGAATGGAGAGCTTATCATCAAGTGCTACTACTTTCCTTTTGCTGTGGATAAAAGAGTGCCCGTGAAGGACCTGAGGAAATTAAAATTCGCTCGACAATCGCAATCTTACGAAAAGAACTGGGGTTCCAACTGGTCGGTGTGGTGGGCGTGTGACATGAAAAGGTAGGTAATTGCTTTTTACTCATGAATTTATACTTAATTTGATAGCTATTCCGTCTCGGGAATGACGTTGGTGTTTTTCGAAAAGCTCATTGTCCATAATGGTCACATGAGTTCCATTTTGCAGCTGAAAATCAATATGTAACAAAAGTCTTGCACTTGATAGCTAAACTTGTTAGTATAGAATATATACCTTGATAGCTAAACTACTACAGTTGCACTTGTATTTACTGAGTTATTGGAAAAAAATCTCCAGAAACATCTAAGTCTTTTCAGGAACTTTCGGAAGCACTCTGAAAATTACTACAACATGGTCGTTGATAACGGAGACTGCTTCGAGAAAGGATTCACTGTAAAGGACATTGTTGGATTTCAAAGAGCTTTACGAAATGATCTATACGACTTTGTTATAAAGCCTTTGGTGTAAAGTGCATGGCGCAATCTCGTAGCCGTGAGCTTTCTCCGATCAATTCGGTTCTCGACGTGTTTCTCACTACAATGATGAGACTTAAACCAAGTTGCTTGAGAGGATACAAACGATTTTAAAGTTTCAAAGTCAAAATGAAGAACAAATGCAGCTTCAGATGAAGTGAATAGCAAAGGCAGACAGACAGTGATAGAGATCATTGAAGCGTATAGGATCCAAAACAGCATGTAATAATAATTCACGAAGAGAAAATAAGCGTGTGAAACCTCAGAATTCTGAATCTCATGATAGGCTTCAGTAATAATGGGGAAAACACAGTCACAGCATAATATCCTCGACTTCCGATTAGTCTTGGCCAAGTAGCGAAGCTTCTCCGTAAACTAGTAGCTAAAAACAAACCGGCTTCATTTAAAGCTGTAAAAAGGTCCTAACTAAGATCCACATCGAAATTACGCGTTTCAAATTATCTAAAAACCGGTCTTCGTTTCTGGAGCATCTGCCAGGTCAACGATCGAGGTTTTATACCCGTGTGCTTGGGTGTTTCGGGGAAGAAAATTAGATGAGCTGTTTTGCTTTTCCAGAATAAGTTGTTATTAACTTGTTTATCCCTTTGCAAATCGGTATTGACAGTAATAGCATTAAACAGAGAGGAGACGTTGTTTCTGGGACAACCCAAAATTTCATTAATACATTACAACTTTTTATAAATCCGCCTTAAAGAGACCTAAAAATTGTTATTTTGGATCAAAGCCAAAAAAGTTTCTTCAAAACCATCAGTCCGAGCGACAAGGGCCCTTAGAATAGATGACTTCACCACTTTATCGACCATTTACTCTTTTGTGCAACAGAAACTGGGAGCAGATTCACCAATTTGTCTGTCCATAAGGACAGTTCTACTTGCAGGAAGGACTAGATGGTAAGATGTCTCATGTGGCATGCTACTTGGCGAGACAACTAGACAATGACAGTGAGAGCGGCTGGTCAACCAGCAAAGACACCCACTCGCTGTAAGCCGATCGGACCTTCCTATATGCCTCTGTGTTATTTATCCTGTGTCCTAAGAATGACACAAGTTTCTGTTTTCACGTTTAGTAGGCAATTCTAAAATTTCAATGCATTACAAAATTCCACCTGTTATTAGAGAACAGCCATGAGCGATATACGAATCAAGTTTGAGTTTTCACAGATAATATCTCACCGATGGTGATTCCTTCACTACTCTGGAAAAAGAAATAATTTGCATCCCTTAAGCGCAGCCGGTAACATGCCCTTTCATGGCGACCAGTCCAAGAAAGGGCGGTTCCGGCACCACGTGCTACTGCCAGGCACACACCTAGGGTGTGAATTGCTTAGCGGATTATTCCCAGGACCAAAGTAGTACAGCTGTAGTAGGGGGATCTTACCTTACAAACCCAATCGTTAACCCTGTGCCTAGCCCAAGATCGATGAGGCCCTTTCAATACTGTTGAAACTCCTAGGACCAAAGTGGTATGGCTGTATTCTGGGGACCTAGCCTTACCCTTACAATCCTAAACCGTAAGCCTGTGCCTAGCCCAGGATTAATGAGGCCTTCTTGGAATCATTGAAAACAGCTTTCTCAAAACGATTTCCGGGAATCTTGATGTACGCCCACGGCCCCACTCTACCATAACCATGACGAAGCGAAGCTTGAATACTTGCTCGTACCCTTCGTTTTTACCTTGCTGTTAGCTTCGATTGCTATTACCAGTAGCCTAGGCAGCTGCAGAAAACAAGTAATACCACCTCACACTTAAGTAACACGTCCACTCATAATTTTAGTTACCTTTAATTATAATAAGTTTTAACGGTTTGAAAACGTCGCTATACCATAGCCAACGAGCGATTCATCATCGAAACGCTGGACGTTGTGTACGTGGCTATAGCCCACATGGTAAAAAAGGGCAAAAACTGCTCCGTAAACTTCAGCATAAACAATCTAGTACCTTAGCTCTTCCGGGAACATAACTCCCCTTTACTAAAACCCCCCACCATCACCGTCCGTTCCAAAGTGTTACGCTCTGTTTTACAAGAATTGGTCCTGTGCGGAATCCATGCGAGCGGTATTTCACGAATCATCTGCAATGCACGATGCATTGCACAGCGTGCTATCGATCGATTCTTTCACACGTGAATCCTGCATAGCATTTGGGGGAAACTGATTCAATAAATGAGTATGAAAATAGCTTAGCATCAAATGTAAGTATCCTGAGAACGTGAAGCGATAAGTGATTCGTCATCATCAGCACGTGATTATGGGTCATTACTTGTTTGGAAGTGCATTATTCCTTTGCTTATGCTGCATCTCTGCAACATTGGGGATTTTTTGCATTTTCCCGCCGATTTTTCGGTTATGTTTTTCGATTTCCCTTTTAATGTTGCTGGTCGTTTAATTTCCTATATGACTTTTACAAGTGTGAGGGGTATAGCCAGTTTGGGAACTCAGTTTTGTTCGCGATATCAAAAACTAGTCATACGGGGGTTTCTCTGGTTAAAGAAGTGACAAAAATGATGATGAAGTTCGACTAATTCGAGCATTTTCCAAATCGTTAGGTTTATGGATTAATATGGAACATTTCTATTGTGTTCTAGTCAGCCATTAATAGTGGCAAATGCGATGGGATCGTGGCCATCGCCCGAGGAGATGGCTCGCCAAGGTCTTCGGACTGCCACGGGTCATATCCTCGAGAATATTGGCTTCTCATCAGTATCTGGAGATTCACTTAATGTACTCACTGATATTATGCGTCGATTCATGATCGAATTATGGTCTCGAAGTAAACTGCTAGCCGAGCATGGTGAGTTTCTTCATATTTGTCGTATTTTTCTTCTTAGATTTTTTACTTTCTTATTCCTTTATAATTGTTATTTCCCCTTTCTGACATGAACACTGAGATTATTTTATTTTTCTTTTATTAATCTTGTTAGAAATTTCATTTTATTATTGTTGGATGCTTAGAAAATTATTCCTTGCATGCTTGAAAGCAACCATAAGAGTGACTTTGAAGTGTTTTATTGGTTTCGTTTTGTTTGAATATTCTTTTAATATTAAACGTTTAGCTGGTCGTACGGAAATATGTCCCGATGACATGAACCTTACATTTAGTAAGTTGAAATTTTCGCCGGCGGAAATGCGCGATTACCTGCTACAGGTGGGAAATGTTGGCCAACCCAAGCCGGTAGGTTTTTCTCTACTGCCATTTATCAATTTTGCTTTAAAACCGGTCAAAGTTTCCTTCGTTTAGTTATGCCAATTTCCCGTTGCTCATCCAAATGCGAGACCTCTGTTCGCTCCTCAGCCAAGCGCTAAGGAACTGGAGGTTCGTTTTCAATTTTTTGATCCAAAATTACTGTTTACTACAGTTACAATAATTTTGCTGCTGTTTTCAATCCGCCATTACGAACATGGTTTTTTTCATAGCTGCATAGTGAGTTCAGCTTTTGTAAATAGTCGATGATATTGGTCTACCACTCCCTTTTTTGTAGTGGTCGTTATTATTATTATTATTTCTTTTTTCAAATCCACAAAAGAATTCAGATCATTTCCCAAATTTTCTTTTCACAGTTGCCACTACTCCTATGTGTTGCATTCGTAAATGTGCGTGGGCGTGTTTGTGATTGTACGAAAGGGAGAGGGGAGGGTTTTGCGAATGTGATGGGTGATTGTTGTTAAAAGTTTATTAATGCTAGCATTCAAAGAGTCCCCTGTTGTAACTGTCGTTTTCTGTTATTTCTAGAGCCTAAGTTCAAGGTTCTTATGTATTCTATGCTTCAGTGCTTGTTAGCTTTCTCTGTTTTTATTCGCTAATAATTTGGCTAGTTTGTCTTCATATATTCATAAGCAGTAGAACCCATTTTGGTTTTCTAGGTGTTTTAACTAAAGTATTTATATATGCATGTCCATATCTTCTCCATCACACTGAAGCTTACACAGCAAACAGGTTGTAATGCATCGAGTAAGGTGCTCCGATCGTGGCGTACTTTACTAGTAAAAAGGAGCTGTGTTACTAGAGTAAAACTTGTCGCTGTTCCTCAGAAATGACTGATCAATTCTTGAAAATGCGATCTTTTATTTCACTTATCGTTTGTGTTAAGCTTTTCTATGCTCATATCCTCTGTTAACAGGACCGACCTGAGCATATCCCACCGTACTATCCAGCTGCTCATCCAGAATGGACTACAGAAGGTACCACTTTTATTTTTTTATCCTTCTAATAACTATGCGCCATTTCTTTTTCTAGGTGCAGATTACCTGGCCGTTATGAAGCCATCTACCTCTGTCGAGAAGAAGGGGTATGAAGGCTTCTTTTGAAATGTTACTAATTTAGTATTTGTTGACTGAGTAATATGTGCCATTCAGGGGTCCAGCAGATTTTCCTGACTTTTCCAATATGGATGCGAAATCGCTAGGGTTATTAAGACGTGGACATGAAGAGCCTTCCTTCTTAGATACTAGTAAGGATCACAGTTCTGCCACCGGTTAGTTCATGGTAGTCTTTTTTATTCACTTGTTTTTTAAAATGTTCAGTTTAGTAATACATCGTTGTGATCTATTTATTCACTTTGAGTTTGCTTTCATCATGTTTTAGTTCTTGTTTGTATGACCTTATTAAGGACCCTTCACACTTTTCTTGTTTTAGCGCATAGCAACGGGATTTTGCCTTATTTTCCCAATACTATGCTTCTAGGAATACGGAGTAGCGCTAATCTCTCTTCGCTGAAACTTCAGCAAGGCGGTAGTAATGAACTAACCGTCAACACGTCATCACCTAAGAAAAAGATAAAAGGAAGTGGTAGCTACGTAAGTTTCAAGACTGTTTTATCTCTCTCTGGCCGACTTTGTCATTCTTTTTATTTAGAAAGATCTTCATAGTAATTATTCACCTTCTCCCATTCCTTCACCTTTATCTGCTCATCATGTGAAGCGCCCAGAACAGTCAAGTAGTAGATCAGAAGTAAGAATGGGGTTAACATTAGTTTCTATCTTTTTCATTACTGATTAGTTCGATTTGCAGTCACCATCATCTCGCGTAGTTCCACTACCTCGGAAACATGAGCAGAAACCTTTGAAGGTACCACATAATAAGAACAAGAAGGTATTTAAAATGCTGTTTAATATCTTCAAGTGTTTAATTTTAATTTCGATTTCCGATAATGTTTTTATTTGTATAGAATGCTGTCTCGGAAATGAACACTCCTAACACTTCTCCAATGCCGAAGCTTGAGAGTCAAAGTACTGGTATGTTTTGAGGCTTTTTAGGGTTACACATACTTTATTGGAGTGAATTTGTTTCGAACTGCATTTCTTATCAAAATGTTCGGGGAATTGTACGTGGACTGGCTAGTTGGCTGGCGTGATCTGCGATTTTTTGAAACATAGGTGTGATCAATTTATCATTAGGTCCTGGTAGGGGGATAAATCGTTGCTTTGTAGTACGCCTCATGTTCTTAAAATAAGTCAAGAGACGCGTTTCAGCGTTGCACGTGTATGACATTTAGCTGTCCGCCTTACATTAAAGAACCTCAATAACTCCATTGTAAATGGGTTGACATCGAATTAAGCCGTGGGCCATCATGAATGTAGCAGCAGAAGTGAGCATTGATTAAGCCAGGTTCTTGATCAGGCAGTTTCCTATAAATGTTCACTTTGCTGAGTAACTTTACGGTATTTGCTGTCCTCTTAAGCTTGAGTATCTGCGGATATTTCTGTAGCTATTCTTTAGTACTTTTACTAAGCACGGCTTGCGCCATGTATTAAGCTAATCTGTGTTTTTTTGGTATTTCGTCTGCTCTGATCTTCCCGTTCTCTTATTGTTCACATTTAAAGAAGTGATATAGGCGGCAAACGCCAGAAACCTTGCCATACCAACCTAAACTGAGGTAAGGAGACCCAGAACTTAGAATGGTCAATTATTGTTTGATTTGACGAGTTCTTCATCTTCCAGTCGCCGATGTATCGATTTTCCAGTCTTTGTTTTGACGACTCTGTGGGGCATGTAGAGCTTGGATTATTTTGTTGTGTTTTTTTTTGGATTTAGTGTAATATTTTGACACATTCTCTGGTTGTTTTTACTATGCAAATACTGCAAATATTTCTCCTTTTCTCATTTTATTAATTTTGTCTGATTAGATCGGAGTAGATAAGGGCACTTTTGATGATTACGAAACGGCTAGATGTGTTTTGTAAAAAGGATCGTCTCCTAGATAGATTTTTTCAGCTGACATGGTCCCCGTGCCAGCAGAACCTGTACCTCGAATTTCTCCTGCTCTAAAGTGAGTTTCCAGACGTCATTTTACGAATGCCTCTGATTCTCAAATGCTTGAAGTATTTAAAGTATTCTTCGCTATTTTTAGAGAAAATGTGCAACAAACTGCACCTGAACCGGAGCCTCCCCTACCTTTCCAAAGGTTATTTCATTGATAGAGCGATTACATCTGACTATCCTGAATCCTTTTCAAACGTGAATCATTTAGTTTGTTGCTTGCACATGTGAACGACGAGGTAAAGAAAGAGAAGAAGCAGAGAGAAAAGAAAGTGAAACAAAAAGAAAAGCGAAAAGTAAGTACTATGGCACATGAAGAAATGAGCCGCAGTTTCGAACTGATCGAAGGATGGCAAATTTCAGAAGCTACAGGAAGAGCAAGAGGTAGTCAAAAAGGAGCCTGAGGCTCCTGAGCCGTTGCATTTGGTTGAAGAACGTTTGGAAAGGGAACGAGCCGAGCAACAAAGATTAGAAGAACGAGCTCGATTACATCTATTAGAACTTGCTCGTGACACGGCTACACCACCGATGAGACAAGATTTCCCTCCTGAAGGTTGGTTTAATAATTTCTCTTCCTTTTTTTATTCATAAATTTGTTTGACAAAAATAGTTATATCTAGCAACTGATTTTAGCTCCGCAGAGGCACTTAAAAATCGTGATAAGTAATCCTCACAGTGATTCGGCCAGTTCCGCTTTTTCACCACCACGTCAGTTTCTTATTTATACGATTACACACGTACTTGTATGCATTTAGTGTTGTGGGGTCGCAGTCAAATTTAGATCGTGGTGTTTGTCATTCTTAGAAAGTCTTGGTTAAAATTTTGGAATATTTGTGTTAGAATGAAAACTGGGATTCTGAGTCCTTGGTAAGGCCCGCTGTTTGTAATTTTGGTAACGAACTACTGAATTTACCTACGAAGGGTTACTGAAATTGAAGATTTCTGGGATGTATTTTTACTGGTAACTTCCTTTTCTTCATGTCTTTCTTTTAGTCATTACCGATAGGCTATTCTTCTCTTCTTTATTCTTTCTTTACTTTTCAATATCATGGGCTACTCATGAATTCTTGGCGCGAGTGTAACTCGAATGTTTTTTAACGATTGTAAGGAATGCGTCCCGCTCCCGAAGTGAAGTTCTGAAAGTTATTGATCGAGGGATTCCTCAAGGTTAACAGATCTAGCAGCGAGATCAAAATAATGCAAACATAAGTTGTTGCCAAAAGTATACCTGAGTAGATCCTGACCCATCTTGTTTCGCATGTTAAGAATAGTTATGCGTTTGAACCATTTGGGTGGTTTTTACCTGTATTTGGCCGGCTAGTAAACCCACCTTTGACACACTTTATATGCATGTTTTCTGTATTGTGAAATCACGGAATTTTTCATGCACCGTATATCCTCTTATGTTTGGTTTTAAGCTCCAACACCGCAAACTACTGTTGAACTGCCACTTCCTGTTCCTTCGCCGATTGCTGGTCAGTCATTATGAACGATTATTCATGTGAAGTTTCGAGGCATGTAGAGCTACAAGACGTATCATTGAAAATTGAAACAATACTTGTAAAAACGTTACAATTGATGATAATTGAGTTCCCATATCAGTAATTGTGCTTTTGCTCCTTATCGACTGTTGATGTTTTTCAGTAAATTTTAAAGTAATCAGAACAATCAATGTTATTCTAGAGCCAAAATATGACAACGATTCGGATACCATTCCTTTCTTTGACGACGCCGTCACCGTCACGGAGGCAGTCTCAAGTGAATCACTGGAAACGACGTTCCCATTCAATATAAGCATGCAGGAACCCACATCTCCACAGAAAAAGAAGAAAAGAAAGGATAAGGTAAAATCAGATTGATTGTTTAAAGGTAGATCGTTTTCATATGTTCATGTATAGGAGAGGGATCGTTCGGGTTCGCCGCACAGGAAGGAAAAGAAACGAGATAAGGAACATAAGAAAAAGAAGAAGAAGAAAGAACGAGAGAAAGAGCGGCATAGGGAAGGTCGTGATAGCGAAGAGCATCAACACGCTCGAAGTTCGTCATCTAAAGAAAGTAGGACTTGTTTTTCTGTATGAGGATACTCCGTGAATTTGATCTATCACTATACGACGTAATTTTAAGCACATGAGCCAAAATTCACTTTGAAAATTCGTATCGGTGATCAAACGTCTACCACGGAAACGATTGCTGAATCCAGTCCACAACCTGAACCCGTGAAAATCAAGTTCAAAAACTTTCCTGTGTGAGTTGCCTTTCTTGCTGAAGGTGCAATTTCATTTTTAATCCTTACAATATAACTAGGAATTTACTTACAGCGAAGAAACTCCACCCAGAAAGGAAGAGCAAAAAATGGTGCCTCCACTAAAGCTGGGACCGTTTTCCGCGCCGAAGGAGGTGAAGGAAGAGCCGAAAAGGAAATTCTATACGAAGGCTGAAGTTAGTATGTAGATTACGTCACCTATAACGATTTTTACTGCCTTTGAATAGTAGCACATGGGTTGGCTATCCCACACGTAAAACATTTCGACAGGCCATATCAAGACGTAGCCGGAACAAAGTTATGTGTGAAGTGAGAAGTATCGGGCTCGAGGCTCGATATTTCTCACTTCATGCTCCCCTTTTCCATTTTCGCTGTCCAGTGGGTGCGCACGTAGATTGTTGTTTATATTGCACTATACACATGATTTTGGCTTAGCCTTTTCAAATTTCATTTTAGCTAAAAGCACCGGCACCGGCTTTTTCAAGTTTCGCTGATAAGCCGTCAAAGGAAGAGCGAAAGAGGAAGAAGAAAGAAGATGAAGAAAGGAGAAGAGAAAAAGAAGAACGGAGACAGCGAGAAAAGGAGGAGAAAAGGCGACAGGAAATGGAGCGTGAAATGGAGCTACAACGGGAACGTGAACGAGAACGGGAACGTGAGCGGGAACGTGAACGCGAACGGGAGCGGGAACGGGAACGAGAACGAGAACGCGAGCGTGAACGAGAACGGGAACGAGAACGGGAACGGGAACGGGAGCGAGAGAAAGAAAAGGAGAGGGAACGTGAACGAGAAATGGCCGAGCAAAAAGAAAAAGAACAACGAGAGAAGGAGCAAAGAGAAAAGGATCGGGAAAAGCAACGACGTGAAAAGGATGCACAGCTACCTCCGCCAGTGATGGCATTTGTCAAAGCAGGTGTGACGCGTTACATGTTTTTGTCCTTCGATTTTTGACTTTTCTCCTCGAAGTTTATGCCCTTTTCATGCAATTAGCAATGGTTTTGAACCATTTCTGAACTCGGTGCTATTTCAGAGAAGAAAAAAGTGAAGAAGAGTAAAGAAAAAAGGCGCAGCAAAGAAGAGAAAAAGAATCAGGTAGATCAGTGACCACTCATTGATTAGACGGATCGATTTCTGGGTGGAATTGATTTCATTCCATTCGTTTTTCAAATATTTCTGAGGTAGAGAATCCATTTCAGGTGGAAGTGGTGACCCCAGTTCCTGATGATAATTCAGAAGAAGGGGACGACGATAGCTCAGATGTTGTTAGTGTTTTCATCGTATCTAATAGTTAAATTACATGTTCTTAGAGTATATTTCCAGGTCTGGATTTGCCCTTCGTGTTCGGTTGCCTGGACTGAGGGCGCTACTATGGTTTGCTGTGATATGTGTGATAACTGGTTTCATTGGTAAGCTTTTCCCATTACTCTTTGAAGTCAAACTTTTTTTGAAATTACGTTATTATCTTTGGACCATGGTTTTCGCTGTTTTTGCGATTGTTTTATTCGATTCGGAAAGACAGCCAGCAAATCATCAGGAAGTTACTAGGTCGATATTTATTGATCCTCGCTATAAAGGTTTTGAAATAGTTCTCTCTGAATACGCTAGTTCAATGGGCTGGCAACAATGTAATGACATAAATTTTAGTAAATATCTTTTTTTTTTACAAAGAATATAAGCATTCAGTTACATATTGACCGTGAAGTTCTTAGGTGCCTGGTTATGAAAGCAAATCCCTTCGAAAACTACATAGTTACTCTTTAAAGTGTTTCGAGCACTCATAAAGGTAAACAGCACTTAGTTGCCAGTCTAATGTACAAGTCCGTCTTTCATTTCTGGACCTCGTAGCGGAATGGTCCCGTTTTCCCATGGCCTGTGCTTGTGCATCTAGATGAGTGGAAGTAAAAAATTTACCCTAAAATTCCATAGATAACCTGACCGGGTGAACCTACCGGGGAAAAATGAATTGGAAAAAATCGAAATTGAATGCAGTCACCTCTCTAGCTTGATGGATGGATAAATTAAACTTCGAAGAAGAAGTTAAGAAGAAGCTCCGCNGCGGAGCTTCTTCTTAACTTCTTCTTCGAAGTTTAATTTATCCATCCATCAAGTTAGAGGGGTGACTGCATTCAATTTCGATTGTTTCCAATTCATTTTTCACCGATAGGTTCACCCGCTCTTATCTATGGAATTTTAGGGTAATTTTCTTCTTCTCCCCTCCCAGGAAAGGCATTGCACAGGCGTATTTATGGTCATATTAGTTCATTGAAAATGGGACTGTTGAGTCATTTGAACTGCTGAGTACTAGATCGCCAGAAACCGGTTTGGTCATACCTCTTAGCAACGTCCCTTCTTACCAGGAAAAAAAAGAATACTATACAGCAGGGGAATTCTTCGTGAACGCTGCAAATCTTGCTGATCAGCTTAACCTTTATATCTACTGTCGTGGGCAGGATCACGTATAAATATGAATGTTTTTTCCATATAACAGTGTGATATTTAATGTAATCTTATTATAGGCACTGTGTAGGCCTACTCGTTGCTCCTCCTGATGATGTGCCATGGTTCTGTCAAAAGTGTGCTTGTAAAAAACAAAGTGAAAAATCAGGCAAGCGTCCTGGAAGTAAGCTAGAGGGATCCATGCGGAAGCGAAAGAAGCTCCCCTGAAACATCTGGGAGCAGAAGTTATGATTCGCATGTTTCCTAAACATTTTTATTAAATCAACGTTGACTGCGGACACCGTTTCTGGTCATGAATTGAATTTCTATAGAGTTATTGTTAAATTTACTGATCTCAAGTAGAGGTCGTTGCTAGTAGCATAATGTGATGGCAATACTTTGTCTACTGTTTTTACTTTTACATCATAACGATTCGCTGTTGTTTTGTGTGAAGATTAATGTGGCACAGCAACTTGTACAAGGTGGCATTTCACGGCGTTCTATCGTACAACATGAAGCTTCTCCTATTGTGATACTCGATATCCGCCACTGTGAGGTTTAAACAAGTGCAGGATACTATATTTCTGCTCAATTTCAGCTTCCTCTTCCTTCAAGCTATTATTTGCAGTCTGCTTCAGGCACCTCATTACTTCAGCACGCTGTGCTAGGTGTTGACAAGGAGGCGTGCGGTTGCGAAGCAGCTGCTGATTAGTGCCTCAAAATAGACATGCTCATAATTTATTGATTTTTTGCATGTCAAGTCAGCTGCTTTCCAAGCCCATGTTTACTTGTCATATGCCATTCACGCGTTCCAGGTGGTTAAAGGGGGTACCGTGCATTTTTCTTTTGTTGTTATTTGAAAATGGGGAATCCTTTACACATTGTCCATATACTTTATTTTTCTGTCATGCAGTTTGACCTTTTGAAATGCAGGTATATTGTATCAAAGACCATTTTCTCTGAACGTTACGGAGCGCTGATGCTCATTATTCGCCTCGCTAGTTCGTGATTGTACTCTAGTTTCGTTTTTCCGTGTTTTTTCCTCATTTCATCTTCATCTTCGTGTGGTTCATGTGTCGCTCTAATAATCTGTCAGTTCGCTCGCCGTGCTGCCTTTTTTATTCGTTCTCGTAATTTTATTTCTGTTTTTCATCGTCAGTCCGGTGTCATATATGATGAAGGTCGAGATTGACCGTTCCATTCTTTAATAATAATTCTGTTGAAAATATACCAATTTGCTATAGTTTTTAATGTAAGTGGATGGAGAGATATACGTGTGTGTTATGTACGCATGTGTACACTATTTTTTGAAGAACCATATTGTGAAGAAGATTGTACTGATCATATTCTAGCTATATTCTGTTATTTCCCCTATTTCCCTAGCATCCCGCGAAGATAAGAAGTTTTTTGTTTGAAAATTTCATGAATTGTCACAATCAAAGTTGTTTTTGTATTGTTCGGGTTTTTTAGGAGAATAACCTTTGTGTCAAGATGGGTTCTTTAGATATGAGAATGTGTTTAATACAATTCGCAATATAATTACTACTACGTGGTTGCAGTTGATGATAGATCTGCTCTGAATTTTTGAGTGAATTGCTAGAAGACGGACTGGTTTTACCTGCAATTGGATTCAGTAATTATTGAAATCAATCAGAAAATGAAAAAATAATCAGGCACTCGAACTATGGGATGTGTTTGTGTTGCAGCGTGGTCGAACTTAATTACTTCGGTGAACTAAGAGACCTATTTATGTTTAGTAGGACAGGGATCACAATAGGCTGTAGGGAAGTTCACTGCTTTCGCGATGTAGGGGGCCTAGACGCGATGCAGTTTTGGAGGACGGGCAAGTGTAAAAGTAAGAGTCCGAAATCTTGTCGAATTTAGGATTGCTTGGTTCGGGACATGGGTGGTGAGTAGCTTCTCCATGGGCGCAAACTTGATGAGGAGCCTTAATATGGGAGAATTATGAGAATCAGTAGGAGGAAGCACTCCAAATTAGAACAATAGGAAAACAATTGTATTGATGAATGCATATAAAAAGCTGCCCTTCAATCAATACAAAATGGATAGGCGTTAGACACTTAATACAATAAATTGTTCCACCCAAAAACCTCGAACGGTAGAAGAATTTCAACAACGTAAATCTACAGAATCAGCGAATATTAAGGAGTAGAATTTAAAGACAAAAGAACAAACCCTTCTACTGGTTGTTTACTATTATACTCAATATCATTGGAGAGACTGGGGACTTTTCTTATTCCTGCTGTATGCCTATTTAATCAGAGCCCTTACCGAAAAGGTCGATCTCGTTCCATCCAACTGTAGAAGACCTCTGATGTTGCGAGACTTTGAATCATTAGGTTCGAACCCGAATCCATTTTACCTAGTTATTCCGCCAGCAACCCAATCGGGTAGATAGGCAGTCGTCGTTGTTCACCCGGTCAGGATGAGCGACGTCACTGCACTTCAGCCTTTTTCGTTGATTCCAGTTGTTTTTGTCCAATACAATCAGATATGTGTCTGATTAGCTGTCGACCAATGTGTTTCCCTAGTGGTATCGGTGAAATTGTAGTTAGCGGGAGGGGTACGCCTTGTCTCTGACTTTGAACGCTAGAGCGGAAGGAAGGTGAGGTAGCAGACCTATCGTGGCGCTTAGGAACGTTTCCTAGCCACAAAATCAGTTTCTCACCCATGCTTCGAGAGGAAAGTGTTCCTGGGTGGGTGAACCAACCTCCCCTTTATTTCACAAGGTGATCATCCCACGATGTCC